ACACCATCAGTGTCGAACAAATATGGTGTGATCTTCTCTTTCTAGATTCTGACATGGTTTGAGTGTTGTGCCAGAGAGGGCCTTGGGACATGTTTGCATTTCTTGTGGCGTAAAGCTGAGGAAATAAGGGAAAAGCTGGTGACTACTCAGAGTTCAGCAGCATCGTGACTGCCTGTGCAGAAGACTGATTTCCAAATATGCTACAATCCAGACACATTCTTATTGATCGTGCAGATTGTGGTGAGCGCAGTGAGGTTCCGAGCAAAGAGAACTAGAACAAATGATTTTTGTCTTTGGATATGTTTTAAAAAATCAACCTCAAACTGGTAGATTTCCTGAGCTGAAATATAAATACATTTATGAATAAATGAATAATAGAAAATAAGGGTGGAATAAAAATTCCAATAAATGCATACACAGCATGTGCATTCACAGAAACACACACTGTTGGTTTAAAATATTTAAACGGCATTCTTTCTGCAAGGCCTGCATGTGTGTGTGTGTGTGTGTGTGTGTGTGTGTGTGTGTGTGTGTGTGTGTGTGTGTGTGTGTGTGTGTGTGTGTGTGTGTGTGTGTGTGTGTGTGTGTGTGTGTGTGTGTGTGTGTGCGTGACAGAACAGTATAGGGGGGAGGGCGTGCCACTGCCTCTGCTGCTGCTGTAGTGGGGATTTGATGCTGATGAGGTCTGTAATGGGAGTGAACAGAGAGCGTGAGGGGAATAGATTGGGACTTCATTGGCAAGCCCATCTCCCTATGCAGTGCAGCGTGCTCGCCTATTTATTCCCCCCATTTCAATGCGCCTTTGCTGTGACCTTTCTCCAGCCAATGACAGTAAAATCACATTGCCACCAGAGAGCTATGCATCAGCTACTCCCCACCCCTCCCCTTCAGGACTTCCTTATTTTTATCCCCCATATCGTTCCCCATAGACAGTCTGGAGCTGCTGTGCTTAACCCTCTCAGGCTCAAAATAAGGTTTGATAAAAGGCCAAACAACTAAGTCCTTCAGGGGTACTTCTGAGTTAAAAAATGCTCATGAAACACGTATGTGGAGTAACCAGGTAGGTAGGTTTTAACTGTTGCAAATCTGCAACGCCTGCCTCCAGAGGGTTAAAGCAGAAAGGACGATTGCAACTATACCATCACGTAAACCATCACTGCTTTGACTATGTAAATCTGGGGAAACGAATGGACGATAAGGACAATTATGAGAATACATCAATAAATATTCAATTTCATGTGTGTATATTGACTTTCTTTGTCTAACAGACTTGTGTGTAAAAGCAATTTAAAAAACACAAAAGTATGGAATGGAGGCTCAAGAAAAAGGAAAAACGGGCAAAAAATTGTACGAAAACCATAACCTTTACAAAAGTACATGCATAATGTTGATATTACCGTAAATCCTCTAATACAGGCCCGGGCCTGTATTTGACTCAAGCTCATCAAGCTCCAGGCCTTTATTGGAAGGAGGGCCAGAATTAGAGGCAGGCCTCTATTTCTATTTGAGCAAAATGAACTAATGGTTCGCTGGAGTTTTTGACAGTTAAAATTGCGCCCACATTTGCAAAGTTAAACACATTTCTTTTAACAACGGTAGTTTCTGCTTCAGCCCTCTCCCCCCTCCCCCTGCGCAGCAGCCGCAAACTCACTGATGCGCCTGCAGCCTCTCAGAGTTCCTGCTGATCTAAACATTAAAATAATTATTTCATTTTCTGTTCCTCACTTCTGATTGCCTTCAATGGTGTCTGTTTGTTGCAACCACCAGGTACAAAAACTAACTTGTTTTTATTTGACTATTTTTCTGTCCTGTCTGTTTATTATCTTCCTGCATCTCCTCTCAATCCTAAAGAGAAACTGCTACCTGGGTTCATATATATTCACCTCATGAGTTACCTTTGAACTGCAGTTCTAAAAGATCTACCGACCGCAAAACCAGCGGAGTGCTCGCTGCTTGGTGGCCGCATCAGTGATCGGTGTGTCACCGGAGGACAAGTTGATGCACCCCGCTCCACAGCAAAACACATCAGGCGCAAATAAAAGACAGAACATCAAAGGAAATGAACCGACATGAACGATCGCGTGTTAAATAATTTGGCAACACCTGATTGTTACTGTGGCCGTGCTCAGGAGGCAGATTACCGACTGCAAAAACAGCGGAGTGCTCGCTGCTTGGCGGCCGCATCAGTGATCGGTGCGTCGGAGGACAAGTTGATGTGCCCCGCTCCACAGCGAAACGCATCAGGCGCAAATAGAAGACAGGAAACATTAAAGGAAATGAACCGACATGAACGATCGCGTGTCAGTACCGACACTCTGGAAGAGCGCGTTGCCCCCCCCCCCCCCCCCCCCCCCCCCCCCCCCCCCCCCGAGCGCAGGAGCTTGTCACCTGCTGACAGCAGGCTGCTGTCTTTTCCGAGGGCTGCATCTTGCCGGTCATTATCACGTGACAGCGACTAGTCGACGACAGGCATAAAAAGTCACTATAGTGAAGTCGACTAGTTCATACACCCCCTATTGCTCCCCAGTGTTCTGCAGCGCACGTTCTCTTTGAACTTGATATCAAATTTTCGCCTCCTCTTCGTCTCCGCATGGTTAAAGTTACCCTCACGGTCTATCACTCGCAAATCAAAAGTGAGACGATGACACAACCGCTCCCGTACTTGCTTGTTACCACATTCCACCCGGCCACAATAAGAGACCGGCCATTATTCACCTCCGCCGACTCCGATACCGGCCAAAATTGGAGACCCGGCCTTTAATTGAATACCGGCCTGTATTCGAGGATTTACGGTGTGTTATATAATAATACTTAATGTTACAAAGCTAAATAATGAGGCGTATAAATATAACAGCAAAAAAATACATATTATTACTTTTATCAATGTCTGACTATTATTATCAATGTCTTGCTCTATAGAGAAAATGTTTTGATTTTTCTGAAATCATCTCAAAGCTCAAATCACTGTTTCATAGATCAAAACCTAACTTTGTAAACTATCTGTCTATGCTGAAATATCACAAAGCCAGCAAATGACTGCAAAAGGACACTTAGACGTCATCTCTAGAGGCAAAGGGACACAGGAAGTGAAAAAGCCCAATGGGACTTGGGGTCAATTTTACTCACAACTCTGCGGCCATGCATGTATTTACCTTTGAACAAATTCACACAGACAAATATCTGAAATTTTACACATATACAGCAATAAAGTCATTATTTCTATTCCAAGTTAGCATCCAGACAGTGTTTCTGCAAAAACATCAGAGATCTGAGCGTATAAGTGTGTTGTTGAATCAAACACAAGCTAACACATATATACAGTATAAACAGGGACAAAGAAAGCATTCAGTAATAGGTAATAACCCAGATGGTGAAACAACCGAATTCAAATGCAAAACATGCTGCCCGGCATGCTAGCCTCAAACAAAAAGATGACATCCAGCCAATAAAACAGATGGAAAACACTCCGTCTGCCTCTTCTCCTCCCTTTTTTTCTCTGTCCTGCTGTCTCTCATTCTCCCCCTTACACGCACACACACACACACACACACACACACACACACACACACACACACACACACACACACACACACACATACACACTAAAACCATCATCCTTCCTTTTAATTTCCACATGTGGATCTGAGGAGCAGATGCAGGCAGCACTACAGAAATAGAAAAGGGGTTAAGCAGCGTTTCCTTCAGCAGGAAAGAACAGGAAGATGGTGCTAAAAATAGTTAAAGCCTCGGCTGAAAGAGAAACACCCTCAGGTCCTAAAATAGCTGGTCAAACAAAGGCATGAATAAATGAGAGGGTGAGGGTTTTATTTATTTTTTTCAAGAGGAAGCCCTTCTGTCTTGTTCTCCCTGTTTCTGTGTCTCTGTCTGTCCTCTCTTGTGTGGCAACTTCCCGGTTGCTAGGTTACGACTCTAGTGGCCACCATCCCGTAGTCCAAAGGTGCTTTTTGAATCTTTAAAAAGAAGTCCCTCCCACCTCCTTCTCTGTTTTCTTTTTTTTCCCTGCCTGTCATTTGAATTTTAAAAGAGCAGAAATGGAAACATGTGCACTGACAATTAGGGGAGCTCGGAGCGCAGCGTGAAGGACATCCTACAGATCAATTTGTACAAAGACGTCTTGTATTTCCACATGCTCCATGGAAACAACCACGAATCTAAATTACTGCCACTAGCAGCCACAGCGGGAGAAACTGGAGGCAAGTGGAACATTTCGAAAGTAACTTGTGTGTCTGTTATTAACGATTAACATAACCCCAAATTTAACCCATCAGCCAACGCCATGCAGACGATGTCATCAAGTCATTCCACACGAGCTTCTGTCTGTTTCAAAGAAATGAAAAACACATCCCTAAGCAACCACTTATCCATCTTCTTGCTGTGTAATACAATTGTCACAAACTGGCAGGTTATTTTCCAGCCCCCTCGGGGAACACTGTCCCGAGAAATAAATGAAACGAGCCTTTCACATGTGACTTTTGTGGGGCTGAAACACACCCCATCAAAGCCTCGCAAAAATTTCACAGTTAAAGTGAAACCTCATCTGATTTAGATGGAATAAATCCTCCCTCCTCGTTAAATGAAATACTGCTAATCATCGTGGTAAAGGTCACCTCGCTCTCCTGATGGATCATGTGCCAAGTGAACATGAACGTACAGAGACGCAGGTAGTACACACGGGTCATTTCCTGGCACATTTATCAAAGCGTCGGCTCAGAGTGTGTAAACTTCTTTCCACTTAGGCTTAAATTAGTAATAAAACCGCTATATTCCTCTAATCGACTCATAATTGCTCCAATATAATTACCTCGTCAAGTAAAAATGTGACCTAAATTCCCTGAGACAGAGTTATTCATTTAAATAAGATCACTCTGAAACCATTACTTTGAACGATGTAGAGAGCAATCAAATTGTTTTCTAACAGTCGTTGTTTTACTGTCGCATTATGCTGAAAATCCCCAGAGTTACATGAGAATGAACAGAACACAAAAGCACAATTTTATTTAAAAAAATAACAAAAAATGAACAAAAGGAGAAAACTCGTTCCACAGCCTTGCCCATTACAGACTCGAGTTCAGAAAAAGGGTACACACCACAGGGGCACGGTCCATATCTCACCAGTGAGAGGGGGGTCAAAGTTGAAACCCCGAGTACGGGCCGTTTCCTCTCCCTCCTGGGACTGCAAAGCATGAGGCGGATGTTGTTTACTGGTTGCCAAGTTTCCTGGCCTCCCTCTGGGCAGGAGGGAAGCTGGCTCACTTTTAGAGCCTCAGCTAGTCAAGGTGATTTAAACTGCCCAAAGTCCAAAGCATTACGGGCCAGGCCTGGCTCCTTGTTCCTGCAGCTCCTGCCTTTCATTCAGCTCCTAATAAAGATGACAGCACTTGTATTTCTGTGTTTTCAGGAGGTTGTTATCGTGTCCTTGGGAGCTGATTTACAGGTTAACCTTGTGTGCTGGAGGCTGCTTTTGCTGGTATGTTCTTCTGTTTTTAATTGTGGGCTATGGTGTGACAGCCCACAGATGCAAAACACATTTTAGCATTAAGGAAGAGGAAAATCCTGAAAAGGGCATTTAAATCACAAAAACATGAATTTTTCTGAGAAAAGCTAGGGTGGACCTCTTTTGATCAGACAGAGTACAGAGACTGACTCTAAACCTGGCATCATTAAAGCCACTCCACTATTACATGACTTATAATTACTATTTCTATCTGTCTGATAAAACCTACATGCAGTAACTTGTGGGAGCAGCTGGACCAGCTTCCACAACACCAGTAATCACGTAACAAGAAGCTTTTTGTTGACTTGTAACAGTCACATCTAGTCATCATCTGCTTGTCCTGGTCCAGGTTGCAGCCCCTGCAAGAAAGCCCAGACTGGACCCAGGCCAGCTCCTCAGAGTCGGTTCCATTTCTCCGAAACTACATGTGTTTGTGAAAGGACAGCTAATTGTGTCACTGCATATTGGTTTTTGATTCAAGGAAACCAGGTAAGATGAGTGCTGTTTTGTAACATTTACAGTTCCTGGAAGGTAGAGCTGCATTCTATTTCCCTTGGAAGTCAGAACTCAGATCTGGGAATGGTGTCAGATCTGACTTAACGGCATTCCAACTCTGCTAGGGGAAGTGCTAACCAACCAAGCCAACTACTGTCCGCAATGCACACTGCTTTTCTTTGCATTTTGAACATTTAAACATTGTAGCATGTTAAGGTTAAATAGTATCTGACAGATCTGCTGAAGTCAAAAGGGAATTTATTTTTATGCACATTTTCATGTACAAGGGAGCCACATTTGGGGGCGATGGTGACACAGGAGTTAAGCGCTCGCCCTGTAATTGGAAGGTTGCTGGTTCAAGCCCCACTCAGTTTGTCACTGTCGTTGTGTTATTGGGCAAGACACTTAACCCACCTTGCCTCCTAGTGGTGGTCGGAGGGACCGGTGGCGCCTGTGCTCGGCAGCCTCGCCTCTGTCAGTGCGCCCCAGGGCAGCTGTGGCTACATCGTAGCTCATCCCCACCAGCGTGTGAATGTGTGTGTGAATGGGTGAATGACTGATTGTGCTGTAAAGTGCCTTGGGGGGTTCTAGGACTCTAGAAGGTGCTATATCAAATACAGGCCATTTACCATTTTAAAGTTGGTGAAGAAGTTCCAATTTTTTGGAGTTAGAAATTCAGATTTTGGGATCCTTTTCATTTTTGAACCTCAGACACTTTGAGTTCTGAGAAGTCCTCGTACATGGAGACAAAATGAAGTGATTGGCTTCTTTTCTTCAAAGATTTTGAGCTCATGAGAAACTCAGAGATGGTCTTTTACCTTTTCAAATGGTTCCTTTTTTCTTTCCATGCTGGTGCATAAACTACTTCCCAGTTTGTTCTCATACATAATTTCTTCTGTTGAATTCCTGCTATGGCACACATTGAATAAAACTGAAAACTCCATCCTCATGTTTGAATCCTCATAATCATGTTTATCATAGAGTTTTCAGATATGTGTGTCGTATGTTTTGTGACATTTTATTAAAATTTGTTTTTCAGTTCCAAGGCTACCACTTACAGCAGGGGTGGGCAATCCCAGTCCTCAAGGGCCGCTGTCCAGCAGGTTTTACTTGTTTCTCTGCTTAAACACACCTGGTTTGAATCTACTAGTGATTAACAGGCTGCTGCAGAGCCTGATGAGCTGCTGAACAGGTGATTCATCCAGGAATCAGGTGTGTTGGGGCAGGTAAACAACTAAAACCTGCTGGATAGTGGCCCTCGAGGACCAGGATTGCCCACCCCTGACTTACAGTGACAGAGAATAAACTTTGGTGCTTGCGCGTGCTGGAGAGGGAAAAACAACTTAGCGTGGAATGGATAAGAACCAGACGGGCCTGAGCAGAGCCAGGTCTTCTGTTAACCCGTTTAGCCCCACTGGCAACTATTGTTGCCAAAGTGTATCCCTGTCATTTTTGACTCACAATAAAAATTACAGTGTTACTAATCCAACATTTTCCACTTATTTGCTAGTAAACAACTTAGACAAAAGTTTTGTTTAAAAAAATTTTGTTTCCAAGTGCTTCCTATCGTATGACATCATTTGCTTCCTGCTCCTTCCCGCTGAAGACATGGCGACTGCAAGTCATCCTGGAAACAGGTCATTTTTAGACATTTCAGATGAACTGCCCCAAAATTTATTTGTAATAATTTACTCATTCAAGTCTCTAGAGTAACCCTCCATCCAAAAATTATACCAAAGACAAATATTTTTTTCTTAATAGGCTTATTTCTGTGAGTGGCAACAATAGCTGCCAGTGGCCACAAAGCATGTCGCTAACTAAAGTAAAACACTCTCTGCAGGATTGCTCCTAATTTACTTATTTAAAATATTAGAATGATGTACAATGGCTCAGTTTAGTCCTCTTAGAATACTTTTCCAAGCTAAAGAACTTCACAGGTATTCAAGGCCAGTGTGTATAGGATTTTTATACGTTACCATATGATTTTCTTGCTAGCAAACATTAGCTTGTGTCTCACAGTCTAATGATAGCTAGCTAATAGAAAAGCTAATGAAGATGTTGATGTGCAGCTGGGGGTGCACTTTTCTTTGCACACAAGAGCTTACATAACCAGTGCACACACCTATGCATTCCCCCCCCCCCCCCCAGTGGTGATATCCATCATCACAAACTCAAGTGTGATATTGCTTTTACAGAACGTTCTACATATGGAACGTGACAATGTACAAGGGATGATATTGAAGATTGAGTAATTGCATAATATGCATGTTGACATTGATTTAGGTCCTGGAAAAACGGGCAGATGGATCTCCTCTCGTTCCAGAGGCTGGTAGCCCAGACTCTCCTCCAGCGCCATGGAACAAAGCCAAGTAGGCAAGGCAGAAAATCTGCAATGGCGGTGGCGATACCTGATGTCACCAGGTTTGACAGCTTGAATCACTGGCCCAGCAACATTAGTAGCAGGTACAAGTAGTGCAAGAGCTGTGGTGGACGCACACCATTTGCGTGCGAAAAATGTGATGTGCCACTACATGTGGAGTGCTTCAAAAAGCACCACACTGAGTAGTACATCCATACCAAATGATGGATTGTGTGGGAACTATGTCATATACATAAATATGTGTTAGATGTTAGAGAGGATTATAAGACACCTTTCGTCAAACATTTTGACAGGTCTATTGTTCTTTGACCTTTCATTCCTATTGTTCATTTGACCCTTGACCTTGCCCCCCCTTCCTATCATTAATCAAATGGACAGGTGTATTGTTCAATCTTTGCCCCCCCTTCCGTATCATTAATCAAATGGACATGTGTATTGTTAATTGTCCAGATGGGCTAGACCCCCCACGCCGCATCATCAATGGCGTATTGTTGAACGTGTCCAGATGGTCTAGACCCCCCACGCCGCATCATCAATGGCGTATTGTTGAGCGTCCATGATATCCCACGTCATAGGCTAATGTGTGTAATGGTGTGTGGTTTCTTTTTTGTGATAGCCCATCGGTTCCCACAGCCCCTCCCTTCTGAGTGTAATCCTATTGTGTTTAACTCTTTAAAAGCTCAGATCTGTCCGAATGGTGAAAAGCCGAGCTCTAAGAAAAAATGATGAACCACGAGGAGCTGAATGAAGCACCAGGCCGCGCTGAAGAAGTGCCTACAGACATGGCTCACTGACAGTGGATGAGTGCGGCCTAACTGTTGTGAATGACAGCCCCACACACTGTCAAGTACCTATGAAATGGTTGTACGTTTCCTCAAAGTTAAAGAATCTGTTTTTGTAGTAGCAGACAAGATGGTATGGTCTGCTAGCTCTTGAGTGAGTGGCAGAAGCTGAAGTCAATGCATGAACTTTTGCAGCCTTTTGCTGAACACACACAAACTCTTCAGAGTGACACATTTGTCTATGTCATTAATACTCTCTTTGAGATGTTCACGTTGGATTTCGTATGTTCAGTCTTAAACTTTGTGTTTAAATGTGTTATTTACATGCAGCTCACTGACACTTTTTGACCAGAACTAAAACTATTGTGTAAAACTCTCTGTCCAGCAGCACCTCAAATAATGGATGAATCATCAGAGGCTGTAAGCACACACACACACACACACACACACACACACACACACACACACACACACACACACACACACACACACACACACACACACACACACACACACACACACACACACACACACACACACACACACACACACACACACACACACACACACACACACACATTTAAAGCACTTTCCCCTTTCAGAAAATGTCTGACTCTCTCTGTTACCAACTCTAAACACCATTCATACATTTCTCTCACTTCAGAAAAGCAATGGATTGCCATCCTAAACCATTTATGGTTCTGTTGTAAACCACCCTTGCATACTCAAGCCTATAAGAATAAAAGTTGATCCTTACCTCAGTGTGACGCTTTTAGTCGACAACTCACAAAGCAAATGGGATGGTCTGCTTGCTCTCGAGTGGGTGGCATAAGCTGAAGTCAATGCAAGAACTTTTGCAGCCTTTTGCTGAACACACACAAACTCTTCAGAGTGACACATTGTCTATGTCATTAATACTCTCTTTGAGATGTTCACGTTGGATTTCGTATGTTCAGTCTTAAACTTTGTGTTTAAATGTGTTATTTACATGCAGCTCACTGACACTTTTTGACCAGAACTAAAACTATTGTGTAAAACTCTCTGTCCAGCAGCACCTCAAATAATGGATGAATCATCAGAGGCTGTAAGCACACACACACACACACACACACACACACACACACACACACACACACACACACACACACACACACACACACACACACACACACACACACACACACACACACACACACACACACACACACACACACACACACACATTTAAAGCACTTTCCCCTTTCAGAAAATGTCTGACTCTCTCTGTTACCAACTCTAATCACCATTCATACATTTCTCTCACTTCAGAAAAGCAATGGATTGCCATCCTAAACCATTTATGGTTCTGTTGTAAACCAGCCTGCATACTCAAGCCTATAAGAACAAAAGTTGATCCTTACCTCAGCGTGATGCTTTTTAAGATCTGTTGAGCTTTCTTAAAGTTCATTCTAAACAATTTTGCACGGCCAGCGACTTCTGACAAAGCACATGACTTCCTTTTTGTTCTGCAGGTGGCGGTAAGTTTTAAAACAAAGATCTGGCTGAACCAAATCGTCACAGAAACAACACACAAAAAGCAAAGTACTTACTTTTTTGCAGGTGGGCTGAATTGAAAGAGTGGCGGGAAAGTTTTAAAAACAAAGTTCTGGTTCATTCTAAACAAGTCGGCATGGTAACAATTCACAAAAGCAAATGACTTGCTATTGTTTCAAAGAGCTATTTAGGTGAAAGCTTAACCATCGCCTCCTGCCTTTAGTGTCACATTTTGTTTTCACTGTCACACACACACACACACACACACACACACACACACACACACACACACACACACACACACACACACACACACACACACACACACACACACACACACACACACACACACACACACACACACACACACACACACATTGCTTCCTGCCTCAGAGAAAAGATTTGATCCATTTTGTAGGACCTATAACAGCTGAAATAAATAAAAAGCTGTTTATGAGGTTTGTTTTTTGGGAGGGGTGGATTAGTAAAGTCTCAGAGCAGACGTACCTCTGGTCAAACCTTTAATGTCATACCTCCCAGAATAGTTAAACTAAGGCACATGCAAGCCGTAAACGGATTTACACACGAGTGAAAGAGCTGCTACATTTTAACCAAAACATGAGCGAAGAATAAGAATAAGAAGAAGAAGCGATGGATACGTGTTTTGAATATAGCCTTCCTCTGCTAAAAACAACGTTCGAATTGAGACATGATGAGATTTCAGGAAGAAATGTCCGGTACAAAAACGGTCCGGTATTATTTTTTGGATCGTAAAGGTTTTTTTTATTTCTGCTCCAGGGAGTTTTGATGAAGCAATGGATACGAGCACACACACACACACACACACACACACACACACACACACACACACACACACACACACACACACACACACACACACACACACACACACACACACACACACACACAACTCTAAACAACCATTCATACATTTGTCTACCTATACAACAAAGCAAATGACTCTGTATTGTTTATAAACATTTTTTTTTCGACCAATCGCAACCGTTTTCTATTCATGATTTTTTTAAACAGCTGTATAAAATGTAAAAGCGCATTTTCGGAGTCATGATTTGAGGTGTAACAAGCTAAGATGACGGGTAAGTTTTTAACTCAAGACGCAAATCTTTTTTTCTCTTTCTGGTTTAACATCTTTATTTTCAGACGCTATTGTCATATCGGACGGCGAGTGGGAAGAAATTCCTATTGAGGAATTAACTTGTAAAACTCCGGTACCGGTCCCCCTGGATGATTTGTCTAAAATTAATCGCGCGGTCGAGAATCTGAGTGAGTGGATTTTATAAATATATACGTAACGTTCTTTTCTTCAACTGAGAAATATCTCATTTTACAGAAAAGGAGGGGGTTCAACCTTACCCCGGAAGTGATAACTTTTACCCAACCACGCCTCCATCCACCAGCCGAACCGTCTTACATTCGTATCAGCCCAGCCATACCGTCAGATCACACGGGAATGCGAGCGTGAAAGCTGTTCGTTACAGGACCGTCACGCCGCAGACGATCCTCGAAGCTGGTAAGTGATTACAAAATAGCGATTAATAAGTCAGAGATGTGTCGTTCATATTTATCGTTTTTATTCTTCAGAGCAACGTCCGACGGCCTACGCACCCCCAATATCTCAGCCCCCACCACCTCCAGCCCCTTCTCATGCGCGGACGGATGGTAACGATAAAAAAACAACTGATTAATAAGTCAAAGATGACTCGTACACATTTACCGTTGTTTTTTTATCCTTTCAGAACAACATTCGACTGCCGCTTCAATATCTCCGCCCACACCTCCTCCATCTCCTCCTCCTCCTCCTCCTCCCCCTTCTCCTGCACAGGGTAAGAGATATATAAAAAGGTGGTTATTTACTTCAAAGATGATTCGTTCATATTTTTTCATTATTTTTATTCTTTCAGAACAATCCGACAGCGACTCTGAAACCGCTGAACGTGGTCCTGAGCAGCCAGCCGGTAAGCTGTTTCACAAAAAGCTCCGCATAGTATATTAAATTTGAAGTAAAAAAGATGTTTTTTATCCTTTCAGATGAAGAGGAAGAGAACGCACCACCTCCTGCACCTGTACAGAGTAAGTTAAATTTTATATATAATTTATTAAAAGCTCGTTCATTTTATTTATTTTTATTTATTTTTTTCATCAGAAAAACGACTGAAGAAAAAGAAAAACATTCGTCTTTCACCACTTCAGAGATTAAACAGGATGAAAATGGCCTACTTATTGCTGCAGGTCAACTCAGGCCTGGTCGAAGTGGTCCAACAAGTGCTGGCTCTGTAAAAGGAGGACGCAGATTTTTTTCTTCATTTTTAGTAGGTTATTAATGTCTTTTGTATCATGAGTGAAAATTGGTTTGATAACCTTTCAGATTTGCTCGAAGTAGATGATGAATTAAATGTAGATTTGTTAGATAGAATTTTAGCCAGCCAAAATCCCTCAGTGGAGGAGGCCGATAATTTGGTGTTAAATGACTGGTTTGATTTAAGCGGACTGAGTGAAGTAGATGAATTAGCTTCAGATAGTGAGATCTTAGCATCCCAAGCCGTTTCAAACGAGGTCGATCAAATTCTAGCAAATTCAGATTCGCCTTCATCAGAAGCAATAAACGAAATATTGAGACAAATAGAACACCAGCAGCACGTAAACGAGGTCGATCAAATTCTAGCAAATTCAGATTCGCCTTCATCAGAAGCAATAAACGAAATTTTGAGACAAATAGAACACCAGCAGCACGTAAACGAGGTCGATCAAATTCTAGCAAATTCAGATTCGCCTTCATCAGAAGCAATAAACGAAATATTGAGACAAATAGAACACCAGCAGATCGGAGGGAGCGTAAACGCAGCTTTTAACCAGCGTGAAATTAGAGAGAGAGTGTCTTTTCAAGCAATC